ATTTATTGTCCTGTATTTTTTAAGAAAAAAAAAATAAAATGAGCTTTCTATTCATTTCTGATTTTCACAAGTGTACTGTAGATTGGCTTCTTACATTAATGTAATTTTTTTGAATGGCATTTATTTAATATGAACTGTACCATAATATGTTTAGTAATTTTTGTTGATATTCATTTACAGATTTGTAAATTTTGGATCAATTACTGATGAGAGAAAACTAGAAGTTATTACAACATCTACTCTCACAATGTGGTTAACAGGAACATTAGTTCTTGTATGTGTTATTATATTCATGGGGAAGTGTTAAACCAATATGGGTCATACACCATCATGGATTAGGATGCAGTCAGGTCTGATCCAAGGAAAGGGAGGATACTTCCTATTCTATGGACCAAGAGCCTTGCACCTGCACCAGGGAACCCCATCCTCCGAAGAGAGTTCTTGTATATGAGTTGGTATTAAATGTTTCCGTTACTTGTGATGCAATGGCTTGATCTAATCCCTGCTGGCTTACATGTACTGTCCCCTCCTTAGTACAGTACTCTATATGTTCCTTCTCTTAAGAGTGCATATTCTGTAATGCGTTTTTATGAACATTATTATTATTATAATCATAACTAAGCGCTAAACCCACGAGGGTCTTACAACGCTGGTTTTTATGAACAATGTGATATTCTGTACTAAATTACATTACCAGTACTTCACACTCTGATTTTTTCTTTACTGTTATTTATTTGTCAGATAACAATATTTAATTTTTTCACATAAAGTAATTGGTATTTTAGTTTATTTTCCCTCATTTTCATGTCTTTTTGTGACACACTACCTCTTTCAGCTTTTGGTATTCAATATGTTGTGATTAATTCAACATTAATACTGTTTTTATCAGTTTGCATGTAAATAAGACCACAATAATACAGTGGACCCCCGGTTTACGATATTATTTCATTCTTGAAGTATGTTCAGGTGCCAGTACTGAACGAATTTGTTCCATAAGGTATATTGTGAATTAGATTAGTCAATTTCAGACCCCCAAACATACACGTACAAACGCACTTACATAAAACACTTACATAATTAGTCACATTGAGAGCTGATCGTAAAGCGAGGGTCCACTGTACCAGCATTTTCATTGAGGAGACATTTTGCTCTCAAGCTTGGATTGATATAAGCTCCATTGAGCAAAACTTTCTTTTTCAAATGTCCTCATATTACACATGTGGCTCATTTACAAGCATGCTAGTATCAAGTACCAATCTCTTGTCTACCTGTTCAAAGTTTTAATTCTTAAGGGTCGTGATAGTGTACCTTCTAAATCACCCAAGAGATGGAACTGTGTGCACTCTGTATTACAGGTTTTGTGTAGAATTTATTTATTTCATACAGTTATCAAATTGTTTAATTTCTATATGTATTATTATAAGCACTGGGAAGCACTAAACCCTTAGGGTTATACAGTGTCTGTTGAATGGGAGATAAGTTTGATTCAAAGAAAGGGAGAGTAGCTTTAATTCCTTGGATCAAGAGCCCTTTACCAACAGTGTGTTTTTTTTTATATATATAAATTCAAGCAAGGAAATCCTCATCAGCAAATATATACAATTATTGTGAACATATGCTGTGATAAGATTAGACTGAAGTTAGTCTTCAGTATATTCTGAAGAAAATATGGTAGGAGTAACAAAAAGATCCATTTATCACTTTTGTAAACAAGAAGCTGACAAGGATTTACACTCTAGAGTACTTCGATATGGGTCATGTGATCAGTCGTTGGGAAAGTGATATTCATTCTTCCAATCAACACATGAAATTAGACTTCTTAGAAATGCATATTTAATGGCTGCCTAGTATATTTGTGAAGAATATAGAAGTCATAACCTACTTAAAATTATAACATGTTAGGATTATTATGAATATGTAAATTTTTTAACATCTTATAAAAATAGCTATTATCAGATTTAAGTGATAACTGCATTACAGTAACATTAAAATCATAGTTTGGAACCAGTTGGCTACAGTAAATGAAATACATTATTGATTTATGCTTATTATTTTCACAAATAACTCAGCCTGTATGGATCATTCAGCAATGATTAATGCATAAACAGTAGCATCATGTGGTGAGTGAGACTTTACCTGAACCATTAAGGGATTTGTGTCCTTTATAAAGGTAGGAATGTTTCCTGAGGCTTTGATGGTGAGTTATGAATATCCTCAGCTAATAATGGAGTTTATCATTAAGATGAATTTTATTTTTTAAGTTAATATTTACTTGAAGCAATCTGTCTATATCTCTGAAGTGGTAAATATAACTAATAACTACGTACAAAAAGAGAAATCCACATACCAGTACTACAGATATATGTACAGTACCTATCATAAATAGCTCACCTCTGCAAACATTTACAAAAAAAAGCTGTAGCCTATGATGATAGTCTATATCAAGTAGAATAAAATTAAAGATTCAATACTGTGAAGGAATATCATGTCAAACAAGGAGACAAGCTGAACAATAAAATAATTATTCAAGAAAAAATGTATGTAAGAATTTAAATACTATTTAGACTGTATCCAATGGTCTTCAAAAGTTCATTGGGTTTATGTGACAAACAAATATTGTAACTTGTTTAATTGTTATGATAACAATATCAGTGACCATTTTATTTTATTACTCTTTGAATCCAATTCAGAGATAATTTGTCTTTATTGAACCCACACTGCCACATTGTCACTTCACACAGTGTTTTGACTGTTTATAGTTGAAATGATTCAACATGATTGCCCCACTGTCAACAGACTGTAATGATGTAGATCTTCTATACTATGTATAACTGTTTCATTGATACACACAAGAACTTTCCTTATCAGCTTGGCTTTTCTAGGCTGTTCCAACTAGTTTTGTTTCTCTAGTGCAATGATCAAGAGACACTTGTGCAACAATTGGGAATCTTTATTCTGGAAATGTTTATTGCCATGCAGTGGCTTCTTCAGTCCAATGCAGAGAAATGTGGAAGATGAGGAAGAGTTTCAGGTAATCAGTCCCTCAGCCTGGAGTTGTGTTCAGGTCTTATTACTGGAAACTCCTCCTCATCTTCCACCTTTCTCTGCACTGGACTGAAGAAGCCACTGTGGCAAAACATTTCCAGAATAAAGATTCCCAATTGTTGCACAAGTGTCTCATTTATCAACCTGTCGGTTTTCTAAACCATTTATACACAATGATGAAGAGCTAATGCTTTATAGGGCTTTACGGTCATTACTCTCTGATTTAGAATGTCTGGAAAAAAAGTGAAGATTCTGAACAGGATAAAATTGATATGGAATGATAATTACTCCATCTATTTACTGCAGCACTTATATGTGTGTCATCTAAATGACTGATCATAACACTACATTAAACATTACTTAGTTTGTATAACAAAGTCTATTAGTCAGTTGGTATTGAGGAGTCTACCCTTCAGTTGTTCCACTGATGTAACACCAGAATACAAATTTTGAGGAGATCTACCAATTCATTGCTATCACAGTTTATGTTAATGTGATAAATTCAAGCACTGTGTATATGAAACCATTTATAAAAAATCCCTGTGCAGCTCTGACAGACTAGCATATAATGTTCAAATTATAGCATTCAAAAAAATACGCACAGTAAATGCAATTTTTATGTTAGAGGAAATAGGTGT